TGGATGAGAGGTAGAGCGTCTTCACAAACCAAAAAGAAGTCCAGCTGCTTTTATTTCAACCGCTTTAGGTGTTGCGTTGTATCTTGTGTGAGGATTCGTCCTTTGAAAGTATTTAATTTGGGTTATTTTAATATTATCTTTATTTTGTTTAGAATTTTTGAAGAGCCGTCAAGCTCTTTCCTCTTACGATGTATGTGGGTGGAGATTTCTGGAAAAGTTTACAGCACTAAAACTGTTCTTCTTCTTTTAGGCTTTCCTAAAGTAAGTCCGGTTTCTACTCCGAGCTCCACTGTCCCATCATTGCAGGACTGCTGGTTCTTGAAGTCTCTGAAGGTCCTTTTTCATGATTCTGATGCATAATCGGGCTCGCTGTCCTTCTGCAGATTGAATTTGCATGATTTAAAAAACGTTTGCACAGCACTATTTTCAAATCCATCGACACATTTCCCCCCAACATTCATTTTTGTTTTTGATTGTCTTTAGGTTACTTCATCATGACTTAAAGGATCATCACGCTGTCCGTGTCAAGAGTAAAGACCACAGCGACGTCACCAATGGTGAACAATCTGATTATGCAGACGACTCTGAACTCTCTGTAGCTCACCTGGGAAGCTCCATGGATTAAAAAGGTCACTTTACCAAAGTCAGGGAGGAAGACGTGACGCCCGCTCTGTGGGAGTTTGGTGCCTGAAACAGGATCTCATCATCTGGACGAGCTTTTTGTGTTTTCTGTTCATTTGGAGTAATATGGTTCATGGAAGATGGAATAAAATATCAGTGGGAGTTATTCCTAAACAAGGACTGACTGCAAAACTCAAGAATGGAGCAGGATTTTACACAGTAGGATCTCGTAATCTCATATCAGTTGTGGATGGTGTAGGTACCTTGTAGGTACTACCCTGGACACGGTGGATTTTACACACAATTCATCTAAAAACATCTGAAGTGTAGCAGGCAGTGTTTGTCTGTAACTGGAAAAGTCTTCCTTTTCTCACTGTTGTAAATGGACGTCTGAGCCTTCTAAAGCTAGAAGGGGATATTTTCCATCTGTTTGGTGTCTCACTGTTGGCAAAAACAGGGAAAGCCCTCCAAACATGTCCGGGACGGGAAGGAAGCACTTGGTCAGAGACTTTAACCATTTCATCACCTGCTACCTGTGTCGAGGTTACCTGATTAAACCGACCACGGTCACCGAGTGCCTGCACACATGTGAGTTAAAATAACACGCAGCAACACACGGAGGTGACAGTTGGGGTAAAAATCCATCGAGGTAGTGGGACCAAACCCAGACCGATCTAAGGTTACACGTAACCCCGACCAAACTTTAAAGAGCCGTAAAGAAGCAGGGCAGGGC